AAAGACTTTTTTGGTAAAAAGAAGTAACTTTGAAAGAGAAACATTGTTTTTTTTTTAAAATTTTTAATGCTTTCCTGCATCTATCGTTTTCCCGCATTCATCGTTTTTATTTCCCACCCCCGCCGAAAACGATGCATCGAGGTTTCACTGTAATATAAAAAGTTTTAAGTTTATAGCTAGCGACCAAACTTCCTAAATCAATATTAATACAACATCAAGATTCAGTGGTATCTATTTCAAACTGCAATAAACTCATTATTAGGACATCTACCAATTCATGAATATACTGCCTGTAAGAACTCTACATACAATTTATATTTGTGTTAAGAAAGTTTCCATTTTTATGAATAGTATTATGTCTAATAAGACATGCAAAGGCAAAACTGAACAAGAACAAGACCTTTGGAAAATTATACAAATCGCTGGTGGCTTAAATGTTGTTTCTTCAAAAATCATAATTTCAAACTCTAAAATTTTTATCATTAAACAAGACATAAAAAGTGTCATTTTGTTGTTTCCTGTTACAGTAAAAAAATTGGGACAAAAATATTCCACTATTTTAGGATTTTACAATTTTGACATATATTTATACTGAGTCAGGTAAGATCAAATTTATTACTGTGGGCTTACCGTGACATTTCTAGGTCTCTCTGTGTTTCCTATTCTGTCCATGCTTCCTATTCTGTCCTTATCATTGCTTCTTCTTTTACGTTGCCGGCGAAGGGAATCAACTTTTTTCTCCCCTGTATTAATTGTTGGAGAACTGATTACACCTACTGGCTTGCGAATCTGTACAGGACGTGCATGGTGGTGGTGATGTTGCTGCGACACAATGCGACCTACGAGTGAGACTTTGTGTGCTGGAGTCAGATTGCGTAACTGAGCAATCCTGGTAGATGGAGACTGGTCCTCTTTCACTTCTGACTCTTCCTGTATGTAGAGAACAAAATGATTTTATAGAATTTCAGCAACATATATTTCAAACAATAAAAAGAAGCAACTGGCAACCAAAATCTCACCAATTTTGGATGTTTAATGTGTGGTATTTCCCCACGGAAAGTGTCATAGATTTGTGAAAGATAGGAAAGCATTGTAAGTTTATCTGGTACATCACACTGTTCCATTTCTTGCCCTGTCATTACCTACAAGTAAAAGGAAATATCACAATTAGTTTCACACTTATTTGTAAAAATGTTAGGTTAGAAATATGTCTATATCTGAAAATATCCTATTGAAGTATTTCAGTTTTAAATATACTTAGATTAATCTGCAGCATTTCAAAACTTTCTTCCACATTAATTTATCAACCACCATTTAAACCTAAGTCAAGAAATCTGCTCATATCAATATACTACTGTACTTACTGGAGGAATACCTAGTTCCCGTTCCAAAGAGTCAAATGCTAACTGATTATTTGCAGCTATGTCCTCTGCTGACAGGGCATGAAAATCCAGGAGATCTGGTCGGTAGCGATGTATTATTGCACAAAGGACGAGCCCATTCTTGAAAGAATGAGTCATATTTTCAACATGCACATTGTCATACAAAGCAACTTGTTTCTTCAACCAATGAAGTAACGTATCTGGATGAACTTGTGAATCTGAAATGTAATCATTATTTAGATTTAAGGTTTTAATTAATATACAAACAATATACCTTGGTGACTTAAAAAATTATGCAACTTCTTGATTTTCTTGAACTTAGTAAGTCTCAACCACTACAGCATGTATGGACACAAACATACCACAATCGATTATGTAATTTCTTGATTGGGTGGACTAGAAATAAGTGAACTGTTTAAATTGCAGCATCAATTATAATTCAAAATATTACTTCAGAATTAATATTTAACCATACAAACAGCAATGTGTTACCATTTTCAAAAAGCAATGTTCTTGTATGTACACTTCTGAAGGCAAACTCCAATAAATATTTCCTAAAATAATGTTATGCCACAAAAACCAAATTTTCTCTTCATACTATACCACAAAAAACAAATGTTTATATGTATGAATACAACATTAATGCTGTTATGCAACATTCTAAGCCGCACACATGCAATTTATTACAAACTGCAGTGTATAATCATACCCTTATTACTATGGCCACAGTCATGCAAAGGATGGTGCAACAGGTGACCATACAAAGAGCACAATTTATAAGAATGTGATAATATGTGGATTTCTTTCTTTCTCAAATTTGTCATACTGCACCATATTGTAAAGATGGATTAAAAAAACAGAACTCTTAAGCACTTGCTTAACACATTTGTAATTTAGAATCATCCACTATGAAGGGGATTTATAAATCATGATTACAATTTTAATATGTTTTCAGACACTGTTGGAAAAATGTTTGCAGTTTGCAGCATATTCTACTGTTACTAGCATAGTACTATCCATCAGAGTTAATGGGAATGAACCTTTTTTGTGTTTAACAGTAATACAATATATTTCAGCATTAACTTTAAAAATTGAAATTAAAGTAAAAAATCTAAAAAAATTCTTCATAAACTAAACTAAATGCGAGAACATTTTCAGTGACTGAAGCTAGATTTCTGCCAAACGCATCAACAAAAAGCCAATGTACCTGTCTCCAGAATCAACACTCCACCAAATCCCACCACAGGCACAACCATAGTCCCATTTAAATTTTCTGTTATCAGTCACCAAACCCAAAACTTAATTTCAATTTTTTTTTGCATCACACAAATGGGGCAGTCATACAGTCAAGTGTGACATAATATGTATCTGTGATATAAACTGCTTCTAATAAGTTTCTTATTAATTCAATACAAAATTAAGCTATTTCCCATGAATTACCATGTAGACTTGAGAGGACGAAAAATTGCCACCATGACAATGAAGGCCTATTCATTAATCCAGGGTTGTCATTCAGCACATGAAAGACAACTTGAAATGCTTGCAAATCATGCCAAATTCAACTCTCTTAGTGCAATAGCAGTCTCATAGTATTTACTGAAAAAACTGATGGTTATATTTTTAATAATCCCCATTTAATGTTGAAAGCATTGGGACCAGAGATCATATGTTTTGTATGAAATATGTTCCGTATATGTTTAACAATTTTACCAGGTTTCAATAGAAGAGTTCAAGACTGGGAAAATGCTGTCACTTATTTCGAACAGCTTGCCTTGTAATGATCTATCAATAGAATGAAAAAAGGTATTTGGAAAGTAGTACAGTAAAGCAAAATATTTGCTAAGGGGCTTAGAAGCTGACCCAACCAACTTCATAATAGTAGGTATAATAAATAACAATACATAAAAATCCTACAGGGAGTAAAATTCTTTTATATTGCTGTATTAGAGTCCATTCTATATAGGTTGCAGCTCATACAATAAAACATGAAGATTTATTACCTATGGATAACATCACACATAACAACACCACCATTGTTACTATCAAGCATAAAATTGTAAAACTACTAAAATGACGCATACAGATGAGATTTCAGGTTCTTACAGCAGCAAATATGAAGACAACTACTATCTTCTGGTTATATGCAGGGTATAATTTGGTAGAAATTAACCAGCATTTCAGAGATGTTTACTTCCTCCTCCATGAGGCCAATGACCAAGCTCCAGGTGAGAAAGTGTGTTGTGATACAGAAGCAGGTTGGAAAAGGTAGAAGCCTGGCCAGGCAATATATCATAACCTTTCCTACTCTGCTGCATGAGCTGCAGCTTTTATAGAACAGACTCTCAAACAGCAACTTAAAAGAATTTTGGTCCCTTTAATTTTACAAAGTGAAGGATTTTACTAGATGAGAATTCCTCATACTTAATGTTTCCAAGTGGGTTGGGAGGACTACAAAGCCCCATAGCAAGCATTTTGCTTTACTGTACTTTTTTATGTGTGGCTTACTCACCAACTTGATAATGGAGAATGTAGGCACCTCTGAAATTTCAGTAAATTGCTACCAGACCACATGGCACAATGTCCCAGAACACAATCAACATGCAACTTAAAATTATAATTTTTAGATTTAAAATAAAGAATATCACAAAGTTTTACGGCATGCTTGGCAAACATAAGATACTGACACCCACCCTTAACTGTGAATCATATGTGCCACACACCAAAATGGAGTCAGTTCATCATGGTTACCAGGTATCATAAAAAAGAAAACAAATATTAATTTCATTATGTTGTAAAGAAGAAAATGACAAGGGAAAAAATACAGTAACACAAGTTTGAGTACTCACCATACAAACAAGGATATTTTGTTAAAGTCGAGATTTTTTGAAATGGACAACAAAAATAAGTGCTCAAAATGTGCCTTCCCATGTTAGATATATTTTTATGATAGATATTTGGTGTATCAGTTGATTAGATTTCACTTCTATATCTTCTACTTAAAACAAAATTAAGTGAAAGTACAATCCAAATTTTTGATATTTACTACTGTCATAATTATAATTATATATGGTAGGTTAATGAGCTGAATAAAAAAACAGTATTTGAACATGATTAGCTCATGATAGTGTTAAAAGATTTTATTGTATTCATTGAATAAATGTACTTCATTTTAAGTGTTCCTGTGTGAACAGAACACCTTGAAAGTTGTTTTCATTCTTAGTGTCTCACACAAAAATAAAATTGTACACTTAAAACAAAATTTATGGCATACATAATTCAGAATGTATTATTTACATAAAAATCTGCTATTATAAAAACACAGTTTCAAATGTATATTGTTTTCAAACAGAATAAAGTTACATGTTTGATGTTCTTTCTCTTAGAACTTCTGTTTTAAAAGTTTACATCAAACAAAAGTCAATAAATCCCATACTATAATGGAAGGACACACGGTAGCAAAACATCTCTTGATCCACAAATTTCTTAGTTCTCATGAGCTGCATATTAAGTGTTATCAAATATGCATAAGAGACTTCATAGCTGTCTGGAGCCAGTTTGTGACAATGGAAAGATGGCAAAGAACAAGTGCTAAAAGGAAGGTTTACTGGAAGACCATTCTGTTTATTGAACAGGCCATTGTGAAAAGAAAAGAAGAAAAGGGTTATATTTGTGCCCCAGAATTATGCCAAAGAATTTCATCTGGACAACTAAATAACATTATTATTCCTCAAAACTTTCAACTGTGAAACGGAATCATCTTATATCTGTAAGATAAATGTGATACATCCAGAATTAAGATCCACTTGATCTACTCCATGGATATATTCCTAGGAGGGAGAGGAGGAGGAGAAAGAGGAAGAAGAAATCGAAGACGAAGAAGAAGAAGAAGAAGAAGAAGAAGAAGAAGAAGAAGACCCTCTCAACAATTAAATTCAGAATTGGAATCTTAGCTGGCAAAGCACAAGTTTTGTCCATATACACTTTCCAATTCATTCAAGCAAATTTTAGAAGGAAACAACATAGAATGGTAACAGCTGTTCAAGTCCCTCTCACCCTTTTCATTAGCCCCGACTTGTCAGCTGTTATCATCATATGCTGAGGCATTTCAATGATCAGTTGCAAGGAGAGAAATGCCAATTTTTAATAGGAAACTTCAAAAGAAGACTAAGTATCTTTTAAAAGTTCAGATATATACTTCCAAATCTATTTACTTACAGTCATGTATTTATTATAGATAAATTGTATAAATAAATAGCATACACATTCAGACTACAGGAGAAAATAAACTCCAAAACAAGCAAACAAAAATCACTGTAATCTTTGTAATCATTAAATATTCTTCTTGTTGGCAGTAAAACAGCTTGCAAGTGGTGTCACATTGATCAAAATAATCAGTCTAAGGCTGAAAATAAGTTCCAACATGAAAGTTTTTGGTATCAAAATAGCAGTAATTACTACTAAATAGCTCTTACCCTTTCTCCGCCTTTTCTTCGGCATCTCCTGAGCTGCAATAGAGACCAAGCATTGTTCCACACTTGCTGGGTCATCTGAATCATATAGTCCTCGCACCTGGATTGGTAAAACACATCTTATATTTAGATTTGGGTATCTTGTGTGAGGATCTAATGTGTATGAAGCTGTGTCTCTCTGAAGGTTTTCAGGTGTTGTTTGACCCAGGAGTCGGTATATAGATTCTCTTTCAGCCAGAACATCAAGTGGTGTTGTTTGACCACAACCCCAGCTTTTCACTGCCCAACAGGCATCCATTGAACTCAAGAAACCTCGAGCACAACCAGATCCTGTAGGCCAGAAAGGCTGAAATATAAAATGTTACCACATTAATCTGCAGTAAGGTGAAATCTTGTCTTTCAAATTTCACTAATATTTTATAGAAATCTTGAATGAACATGAAAATTAATCTACAAAATATGCCTAAAGTGTTGAACAATTTTAGAAAGATAAATTGAACAGTTACAGAATGGTTTATTCTTACACTATGCAATGTATATTGTTCTGCAGTGTGCTGCAAATCTTGTCAATCTATTATTAATTAATTCAAAATATCCATTACAATACAACTGTATTTACCTTTTTCCAATACATTATATTAAGCCACTTTAAAATTCACATAATGTGCAATTACATGCATATTACTGTCCAAAGCCTCAAGCCTGTAAGTTATAATCATACCGATGCTGTTCCATCAAACATCAAACGAAGTCTCTCGCAAAAGAAAAAACTCTGAACTGTAAATCTGTACTAAAACAATATATGCTACTCTTTTTCATTGTTTGTATGGGATAAGACTATATCTCCATGGGACTACAACCACTAGTGTGCCCACTGTCCATCTCCAGATGATACATGAATGAATATAGAGTATTTTTAGGAATGATACTGACACAAAAAACAAACAACTCAGAGAAAACCTTGTTCCAGTGCCACTTTATCCACCACAAAGAGTGGGGGCATGTTGCATTAGAACATAACCGTCAGGCCTATACACAGTATGCAAAATGAACATAATATGGACAGGATTAAAAAAGTTTACACACTTTGTGTTACCTGTCAAGTGTTGTAATTCTGTCAGACTGAACCTAAATGATAAATATTTTTGGACTTTTATGTACATACCAGTAACAGAATCTAAGATCTTTCAAATCTGACTCATCTGAGACCACACACAAAAATTCAATACATAATTATTTTACTTATTATGAGACTATGAGCTGGTTTGGTTCATAAACTAACTCGATAATTCCAGTTTTACAGCTGATCCCATAAAATCCTATAAAGGCAGGCTTACTATGTTAAACACTACACTTTCAGACACTTGCTAAGTCCAACACATACCTTCAAACCTAAAGGAAACATGATAAATCTCACATACCCATATTAAGCCATGTTTCCATACCAGTTAAATAATGCCAGTAAAGGAAAGTAAAAACAACTTTCTTCCAGTATACTGAAGGTGAAATAAAGCAATTCTCAAACAGACTTATGGAACCATATATATTATATCACCGCATTCATAAAACTGACTTTACCTCCAAAAGACTGTCTCCTACTAAAATTTGTAACAATCTATGCCCATGTCTTTCCACAACACGACTAGCATTTTCTGCAGCAAACATCGATGTGAAATCAAACATGGCTACATCTGGCTGTCCATAATGGTTCACTGCAAACTCTAAGTGAGGGAGCATATACTCAGTTGAGAAATCAGCTGCTTCCTGGGCATACGTTTGTAGGGCATCTTTGTCAACATTTTCTGGTGCAAGGAGTTTTGCTGTATCTGGATAGTCCTAGGGATAAAAAAATTAAACATATAAATTTAATTTCAAAAAGTTACAATCAGAAAGAAGTGTAAGAATACAAAGAAGAATAGGAAAGCACATTTTAGTAACATTTTTCACAATTTAAATCAAGACAAAACTAACTATCTGAGATCAAATTACTAGGATATGTAGTAAAAAGTTTGCCATGGCAGAAAAGTTACAGAATTTTTTTTTCTAAGAACAGTACAGTAGAAAAGTCCTCTTCTTACCAGAAAGCACTTATTACATACGGCAACACTAGTACAATTCAGCATATGCAGTTTATGAGCATAACCCTCAACAAACTCTTAAGAAAATTAAATGAATTAGCAAAAATATTAATAGAAGGAAAAAAACCTGAACAAGTACAGGAAACAAAGCAATCTATATACAGGATATCACTATATTAAGTCAATACACTTAGAAGAAAATATGATGATTTATAAATGTTTAAATAGCGTAATAAGAAAATAACTTTTCAGAAGTCAGCACTTCTGCCACACACAACCTCCATAATTTTACTGTTCCCTGTGCAAGCCTGAACTCCAATTATTAGTCACCATGTAAACACTGTGTGGATACAGTGACTCTTTGAGACTGCCCTTTGCTATAAATTTAACTTCCAACAAACTACATGGAGTTAGTGAATTATTTTTTACAAAGAACATATGTACTCCCAACATTCATTGAAAGTTAGCAAATGAGAAATTTACCAACAGTGAAGACATGTCACTTACAAAGAGCAACTATATTACTTCCAAAATTGGGCAAATATACAAGACTTATACATAAGCTAACAAGATTTGTGCATTATTTTTCCACATTTTTAAAACAAAACAGAACTTAGAAATGTACCCCACAATTCATTAGAATTTACAATATGAAAATGCTGCTGAAAATTCACATGAAAAAGAACATAAATTATCACCTCAGAATGAACAGTCTTTGTTGCTAATGAACCATTTATAAATATATTCCACTACTCTGAGAGTAAACTCAGACTCAATGAATTTTTTATACCTTTCATTTTGCTTTATTTGCTCACATATGCAAACATATATCGGGGCTGGTTTAGCCAACAATACTTGGCACGTCATTCAATCCCACTACTTATTTACATTATATGATTTTTATGGCGATTAATTATATTAAAGTTCATTATAACAAATCTATCAACAGGGCACCCTGATGATGCAAAGACCTCTGAAACATCGGTGAACTTCTACCAGACTACACAGTACAACAACCTAGAAGATAACCATCATCAGGGTGGAAGAACCTCTGAAATGTTGGTAAACTTCTACCAGACCACACAGTGCTACAACCCAGAAGATGGTCATCTCCATACTCACAGCTGTGGGAACCTCAAATCCTACTTGGTTTCTTACAAGGTTAAGAAAAATTAGAGGAAAATGTCACACTTTCCTTACTTGTAAAATCACTCCTTTATCAATAAGGCTATGTTTCTTGGCTGTCATGACAAAATAATGTGTTTCATCTTTATAATATACTATGTTTTCCAAATCAATTCCAGTTGCTTCATATAAATCTTTGAAGAATTTCTGGTTGAAAATGAAAGCAACGCCACTGATTTCTTCAACACGGGCTTCTGCTTCTGTCCGACGATTAATGAAATTTGCTGTGATGGCAATGGCAAGCTTCCCTCTAAATTCTTTTCTTTTGAATCCTTGAAACAGACAAGCAAAAAATAAATATTTCTGTGAACAACTTTTATAAAGATATTCTTGCGGCTCAACAACAGTACCTGTAAATTTTAATATAAATATTGATGATCACCAAGTATCATATAACGGTTCATCACAACCACCACAAAAATCAGTTTTATTGGATAGTTCTGAATCCAAGGTTCAACTGAGAATTTGTCCTTCCATCTTTTATATGGTCTGCCACCTATTTCCTAATCTTGAGGTATACTGGTAAAATCTAGGAGGAAATTTACTTTCATCCATTCTTTCTAAGTGGTGAAACCAATGTTTGGTGTTCAGCTATTTTTATCTAGGATGTTAAACATGCTTAATTCTTGTGTGGCTGCTTGGTTTCTGACACAGTCTGTTCTCCTGTAACATGTAACAGTTGTTATGAATTTAAATTCAGCTCTCTTGTTGTTTATTTCGTATCCAGTATTCCAATCGATATAGCAGTGTGGGTACATTGCCACATTGCTATACATTTTAAGAAGTTACTGTTATAAACCATGCACCTCATATGAAGAATTTGGATGAATGGAAAATCACAACATATAAGTATAACAGCAACGTCCTATTACTGGTTTCGTAATATTCAACTTCAAAATTCATATATCCATACTCTGTTGATAAGTTGTGGAAGTTTAAAAGAAATTCATCTCACCATCTAATGTGTTCCTTTTTCCATCTGCACCAATGAGGACATCAAATTCATACTGGCTCACTGGATGGTCTGAAGGACTCACTTTTGCTCTCCATCCAATCTCTGAAAGATTTCATTCCATGTTTTATAATGTAAATAACTGCACTTTAATATTAATTTTAACCATGCTTTCCCATACCAGAGATGTAACAGGTTATTATTTACCACTGTTTGCATGATCCTCAACTGTTTCATCAGTATACCATTACTTGTGATTTCATCTTAGTTCTTTAGGATTTTATTTCAGTAAAATTTTTGGATTAATTCTGTGTGTTGTACTTCCATGAAATGAAGAAATGTAGTGAAATCTGTTGTGATCTGTTCTTACTTTATTAATAAAATGAATACATATACTTATTATTTTGTGTAACAATTCAACATCATTTAACGTCCAATTACTTGAGTGACATGAATCAAAACAATATACAGAAACAACTGGAAAACTACAAAAATAAATTTCTATGGTATGTCCCAAAACATGTGAACATGAACATTGGTACATTCATAGAGTACACAAAATGATGTTTAAAAATCAATGGATATTGGAGAAATTGCCATTGAAAAACTGTGAACACAAACACCATGTAGCTGTGAGAACTATGTTATGATGTTCAAGTCCCTTAGAGTGTATCTGTAATGGTACTCTTATCTTTATGTTGCACAGCTATTACAAGAATAATAATGTACATGTCACAAGCAAATTAAAGAATACAATAATCTCTCTGCTATAAAATATATGCAAAACTTTTGAATAAAAAGTTATAAAAATTTTCTGATGAGTTCCTATCTGAAGCCCAAAATGGCTTTTGAAGAAATTGTTCTTGCATTGATGCTGTATTTTGTCTCAAACTACTAATTGAAAAGAGAAGAGAATATAATATAATATAGAAACACATCTACTATTTTCAGAATATGAAAAAACTTTTGACAGTGAACTGAGACCCATGTTATTTGACATATTGAGAAAAAAGTATATGCCAAATAGATTACTGACAAAAATACTAGACATTTAAACAGAAAATAAAATAAAGATCAAATTTAATTAAAAATTATCTGTATCTTCACTGATCAATGGAGTACAGCAAAGATGTCCGCTATCTCCAACTTTGTTCAATATATACTTGAATGAAATACAACACATTTGGGAAACAGAAGAAATAAAAGGAATTCCAATCTCAAGAAATGCAAGCTTAAAAACAAATTATTTATTTCTCTTTTGTATCAAATAGTAAGGTAAAAAAAAGCACACATACATACATTAGTTTCCTTTAATATGTGTACTCAGACGCAGAGATGCAAATCAAATGGACATTTTTTAAGTAGTGTCTATATTGCTGGTAAATGCCAAATTCCATCAAGTAAATTGACTATTAGAAGACAATAGTTTACGAAACATAAAATAAGTGGTATTTGTTTTACAATACAATAAATACATTTAAAACAGCATTAATTTTTTTTATACATACTTTCATCTGACTGTGCATCAGGTGGAGGAAGCAAATGTTCAAAACTGACTCCTTCATGGATTTCGACTCCCAAGATAAGGGCTACTTTCAGAAGAATGCACTGAAGTTGTCTAATACCTATTCAAAGAACAAACAAAAAGGTATATAAATAAGCTTTAATTTATTTTTATTTATGACACCATGAAAACACCACAATTTCTAATGACATACTTACTGATATGATCAATAGCACCAGCACAGAATTTTCCAAAGAATTTCTTAGCACCAAGAGCTCTAAGATCTTGAATTACAAAGGGCCATAGATGAAGTACATTGTTCCGGGAGATACGATCACGCTTTTCCACTATCACAACCTTTGCTCCCAACAACTGTGCCTCTATAGCAGTACGAAGGCCACATGGTCCAGCTCCAATAATAAGAACCTACAGCCAACAAAACTATGATTCAAGAGTTCATACTATCAACACTTTTGTTTACCTTATGGCAGTATGCTGTTATTTACCTTCAATGTATCAAAATACTAGAAAAAATATGAGTACAATCAATCTGAACATCAGCGCACACACACACACTATAAGCACTAGAAATCAAAAATGAGAGAAAAAGCTAAGATACTACTTAAAAAACACATTTCAACAGCACTGTATACCCCACTGACATATTGTTCCTTTTACTGCAGGCCATTTGTCAACATTAAGCCACTAACATAGCAGAGTATAAACAATTTTCAGTTAAGAATAGTGCAAAGATCTGGAAGTACATATTTTCACTCTTGCAGTTATTTTTATTAACATTTTGAAAATCAAGTCAAGCAACAAAATTTAACACAGTGGACTAGAAATAATAGAAAACACAGCATTTATTGTGATGTTACACTTTGCCAACCACACAGAAAACAAATTTAATGACAGAAAATGTATCAACTGAAACAACATTCAAATACAAGTACCATGTAGCAGCAATTAAAAAATTCAGTACCTAAAGAAAAACATTAATAAAACAGAAAATGCAACCTTCTTGCTACTGCAACGCTTCTACAAAACATATAAAAATACAATGTAACATACTGCAAGACAAATTAAGGTCAGAAAAAATTTGAAGATAAGAACCTATATAGGGAGACATTATCATCAACTTATGTATGTTATGTTAAGTACATATACTTTTACCTTTTGAGATGACATTCTTTGTAATTCTTACAACACAGATGAATACACATTTTGTCAGTTACTAGTGCATAAAAATCTGATGTATACTAATGACAGTTTTTAACACCATCTACCACAACATAGCCACTGAATGAAAGAACTGAGATTACATTTTGTTGCCCTAGTGAAGTACATAACATACGAAATTTAGTTCATACTTACTCGAGTATTTGGACAAGCTTTACCTCTGTTGTAACATTTGTGACTAGCTCGCTTGTCAAATTTTGCCCAAAGAGCTTGTGCTTTCCAAGAGCGGAGTTTTGCCTGTACGAAAATAAACCATAAATAATGAATTTCCGTTATACATTTGGTGCCTCTTTTATTTACATAAAATAAAATGATACATAAAAACTGCAATATAAACACACATGTGAAAGATAATCAAAAGAACAAAGGCCCATATACACTCAAAACACATAACCTCAGTCTATTCCATGAGGGCAGGTAACACAGTTCAGTTTGTCATGTAATTCAATATATCATTATTAAAAAGTTGTTAGATTCGGTTTTCAACATACTTTCTGTATTCAGATATTATATTATTCAAAAGTATATAATATTTTACTATAAATTAATGAGAACATGCAATAATTAAGAAAAACATGAGTAGATGCTTGTACATATGATTTAAGCATGTTTCAAGACTAGCCTTACAACTTCTTCTAGTACAGTGGCATGCATTTTGTTTTAATCATCTTACTGCTACCAATTTGAGTCTAATTACACTGATCCTGCAGACTTTATGCAAACAGGCACTACTAGTTCATACAAAAATTAAAATCAAATCAAATCAGAAATCTCACCTTCAGTTTCGGGTAGAAATGAGGGAAGACTGTAGGCTTGATGCGTAGAAGTTCACACAGCTGTCTGTGATGACCTAAGATGCCTTTCAGTGTAGAGGAACTGCAGAACTGATCAAACACATCTGATGCAAGAGCAATTTCTTGAGGGACAGGTTGTTTCCTATCCTCCATAATTTAGGGGGAAATTACCTCTGTACTGTGATAATCAGCAAACCTGAATTCAGAAAAATAAAAAAGCTGAGCTCTTCAAACTGTACCTTCATTATGTTCATATTGGGATTTTATTTTGTATTAAGTGGGGAATTGAGATGCAATGACAATCTTTGTTACTCAGATAAAACCTTGGAAAATAAGAGAATAAAAAATGACACAACAAAATTAGCAGCTGAGAAATATTTGTAAGCCAAGTTTATAACAATAACAACAGAGAACTGAAACTGATCACGGCAAAATATGAGAAACTGTACAATACTGCTGATATGAAATTCTTTGCAAGTGATTCAGATGCACAAGAGACAGAGAATAGGGAATGAAGCCGTAAATTTACAGTTTGATCTTAAGATGTTTAAAGGAAATACTACAGAATTCAATTTTAGACTGAGCTGACCATGTTATGCAACGAGAACATCATGAATACAAAAACAGCAGCTTTAGATATGGTGAAATGACCATGAAAATGAAGATGTGGAGAGGACATGATGATGGTGGTGGTGATGGTAGCAGCAGCAGCAGCAGCAGCAGCAGTAGTACATATAATAAAATACCACAAAAAGATAGTCACGTTCAAGTAATTCTTGTCCCTGTTCCAGTTCAGGTAAAGCAACCTGCTCAACAACAAATTCCTCCTTCGGACTTCAAGGATTTTAAATGGCAGCAATAACAGCCAGTTATCAGAATGCACTGTCACAACGTGTACGTATTCCTGTGCAAGATAATATGTTATATAACGTATTTTCCCATCTCTGAGACTCTGCCACCCCCCACGTGTAAATGAAATCTGGCGGTGCAATGTGCCTGCTTCGTAACATGAATATGCATCCCATTTTTATCCTATTCACGTTGAAAAGTTCCCTGCACGTTGGACCTCGTCCAATGTGGTGGAACAATGGAACAAGCTTGCGGTACATACGTTCCGAAATTTGCTTTAAAGGTATCATTGGTGCATACTGATTGCAGAAACTGTGTCAATTATACCGTTAGAGCTATTTCTTTACATCCAACACGCATATAACATAGATACTACACTTACCATGTTGCAAGTGGAAACGTTCTCGCACTACACTCTGGTGACGCAATGACGGTAATACACAATACGGCCCTACCACAAAGAAAACGATCCACTCATGACTACACACAACACTTCGCTATTCGAAATGTCATCAGATGAGGCCTATTAGCTTTCTGATGGAACAGATTACCGAAGGAAACAGCGACGAGAAAATACAGGATGCATACGTCCTTCACCAAAAGCAGTGAACTTGGCAGTTTATAGTACCCAGGAAGTTATACAGAGAATGATAGATTTAAATCATTTTACAGGATGACACAGTCAAGTCTTAAAATGATGGCAGATCCTATAGATTTATGGTAATAAAGGAAACTAACCGGCCCAGTGCTTAACACTCCTGCTTCGTATTCTGGAGGACCGGGTTCAAATATCGGCCCTGAGATTTCCTTGTTGTGGGCAAAGAAAAGCACCCTAAAATTCAAAGCTATATTCCAGCACATAAATAACTCCAAAACAGAACACAGATTTTCAAAACTGCATGCAACATTCAACATTTTACTCTTCGATATGTGGCTTACCAATATAGGGGCACTGACTGGGGCTGTCCACTGCAGAGTGAGTAGACATCCTCTAATTGGGCAGCCTGCAAGCTTCTAGAAATCTCCCACAGTTCCTGTAAAGAAGCATAAACTTTGGAACATTTCTATTATATACAGACACACATATACACAGACTATCCCGGAAGGAAGCGACCAACTCTGGGAAGTTGGTAATTCAGTAAATTTTTGCTAAAAACACTTCAGCTTCTGAGAATGCAAATTACTGAGTGAAGATGACTGTCTTCTGGGCTGTTACGTCATGTAGTCTGGTAAAAGTTTACCGACATTTCAGAGGTCCTTGCTGCGTCCATCATCGTCCTGATGATGGAGGCAGTACGGACCTCTGAAAAGTCGGTAAACTTTTACCAGACACACGGCGCAACAACCCAGATGACAGCCATCTTCAAACTCATCGCCGTGAAAACCTCAAATCCTACAACTTACTGAGTGTTACAAAGGTGGGGCATATTGCTAACCACTGAGCTCTAAAGTGTTGATATAACTTATATTAAACACATATTCACATATTTTGTATAAACATCTGATCGTTTCATAAAAGAAGCAACATGGTTATTAAGTCATTATTATGTAAAGAGCAGATTAGCATTTGATGGCTTTATGGTCTGCTTAATGACGGTGTCAGTAGTTCCGACTATATAGCGTCGAATAATGATCAATGAATTGGAAAAGTCATGAAAGGAAGAAGCCCCTGCCAAATTTTAGTAAATTGCCTGGAGGGACCAAAGTAACCCATGAAAACCTCAGTGAGGATAGCGGGCCCGATATCGGAACCAGGACCTCCCGAATACAAAGCAGGAATTCTAACCATTCGGCCGTAAGTTGGGATTACGAATTTCATGTTGGCTATGTTCATGATCATCAGTGCCTGTGACGTGTCTAAGCTATAATTTGTAAACATTGGCTTCAAAGATAATTTAAGCTCGTGCAGGACTCACACACTTTACAGTACGTACTATTACTGCGTTGGAAAATACCACTACAGCGAATGGGTGATACATGAAGGGACTAGCAGTTCACTTTATCAACTTTTAACTACACAACGGTGACAGAGCAGTTTTGAAGGGGGAGGAATGTCATCTTCAGAAAATCAAGTCTTATTAGCTAGTCCATCGTACTCACAGATTATCGGATAATGTGAGTTGTGACTGCGTGTACAATCACACATTCTCGACAAGTCAGAGACAAAATGACTCTGTTTACGGAAATTGCATAAAAAAACAACAGACCAACAATATCCCGTTGACAAGTCGTCACAACACTCATAAACTGCACAATGCCACCTATAAAACGAAGATTATCGGGTCAGAATATGCGAAACTAAATTATTACTGGCCAAACGCCACCTAAATTTAGAGATGGCTCCCTGCGCTGTATCAGATTCGTGAAAGTCTGTTTGCACAGCACAACAATTTCTCCTCGTTCACAATTGCTCGACTCTGATTTGAAATTATAAATATATGTGGAATCAGAAATGAGTCCAAATAACTTGCTGGCTGCAGGATGCATGACTGGAGTTCAATTCTCGGCAAAGACAGGGAGAGTCTCTTCACCACTGTGTCCAGATTAGATCTGGAAACTCTACTGGTGGCTTTTACCTCAGAGGCAAAGCTTGCGACCGGTACGTAAACGTTACTACCAATCTTCATCTAGTGCCGACGGTAAGAACGCGTCGACTCCACCCTCATATCTTAATGGCGTGATGTGTAAGCAGAGGGACAAATTTGTGATTTATAAAACAGCAACTACATTCAACATTTTACTGACATCAGACACTCAGATATTACGAAATTTGAACAAATTCGAATTACAGGCCGTTCAAAGGTTTGAACTAAAACTGGCCTACAATTTCGAAACAGAATTGTAATACGCAATGGGAATAACAGCCTTTGAATATAATAAACAATTCAAACTTTGACTTAAATTATAGGTCACACTGCAAGGAACAAAATATCTGTGCATTATCCAACTGCTAGTAGCGTGAAATCTATCTTTAGCCTGTGCATCCGCCTTGAACCAAATTCTCTGACGTTTTGAACATTCAAGTACTTCATTGATTCAACAAGGAACATACTCAAGACCGTGATCTGTAGGCTGCTGATCTTTTCTGTGTTGAGATGGGAATGATTTCTATTTAAAAATGGTATTTGGGTGGGAGAGAAACTGAAGACGAACGTATCAGGAACGACTGCAGCAGGCAGCAAATGTGAAATCACTGAACGATCTTTCCAATTTTCTCACAATTATTACTGTCGAACAGTAAATATCTAAGTCAAGTAACGACGATATCAGACCTAGGGTTTTCCTAATTGTATTTTTTAAACTTTGCAAGCTCATTTGGGGTTCAATTTTTCTCACGCTTATTTCTGCCGAACTGCAGGTATCTGTGTGACCATACTCATATCAAGTTGAGGTGGAGATTAGGTCCACGTGATATCAAGTTAACGATAAATTATAGGCTTGTGAAGCCGTCACATGCATTTCTTCGCTGCACAAATTATAGTTGGTGAAAACATAGGTCTTCAAACACGGCCCTGAAAAATAGCATCCAAATCTGAAAGGCAGAATCGAAACATAGAATATCAAAATCAAATGTTACAAGCATGCGATCTGCCGGTTTTATGCCAAGAAAATCATACCTTATGAGTTTGTTCCTCTAAGTCAAATAGTCACTCACTCTGCCTTGACATTTTCTAACGCTTATATAAACGCAATCGTTGAAAAACGCTGTTTTACATCCTTGAAACGACGTAATTTGAGAGCCCTGAAAGATATTCATGACAATGTGATGATAAAGACGGCTGTCTTCTGGGTTGTAACGAGGTGTGGTCTGGCATAATTTTGCCAGACAACCTCTGAAACGTTGGTAAACTTCTACAAGACTACAAGGCCCTACAACCATCTTCGTACTCACCGTCGTTAGAACCTCAATCCTACTTAATGTGATGAGAGGCAGGAACGGAATTAAGAAAACGATTTCTAGCTATGTTTCTAGACACAGCCAAGGAACTGGAATGGGTATCAAATTAAAGATCACGTTAGTGACTGACTACAGCCGAATGTGATGGACGCGGAAACTGTCTCACTTGTGGAATACCGTCCGTGTTTGGCTAAACACTGTCGCAGTTGACTGGGTAGAAACGTGTCTGAGGCCTACGACACACCATATCATGTACACGTGGCAGCACTTATAAACTTAAATGCTGATTAATAATTTGACCTTGTGGACAATATTCATGGTACACAACACCCGCACAATCGAAGAAAATAACCAGCATAATTTTGCTTTTGCTTCCCCATTCAAATATTCTTTCTCCCCAATCTTGGCAAAGAAGGGAATTTCTACTGGGTCAACCGTTTATCC